CACAATAACACTGTTGCCATTGAATATTTTTAGCTTAAATTTCAGCAGCTTTGAGCTGAAGTTTTCAGCAAGAAGCATTCACACTAGCATTTTTGCTCGTTTTTTTTTTTTGAGTCAGGTTCTTTTCTGTGACACATTTTGGATCAATGCAGCTGACGAGCAAAAGGCTGGTTGGAACGCAGACTTCACGTCCTCCTGTTCTCCGTCCGTTTGTCCTCCTCAGGCTCCCGTCTGAGATCCTGATCAAGATTCTGTCGTACCTGGACGTGTCGTCGTTGTTCTGCGTCAGCCACGTGAGCCGACTCCTCCACCAGCTCTCCAACGACAAGTGAGTCCGCTGACCAGCCGAAGAGCTGAGTTTTTATTGGACTCGCAGGAAGGGGATTATTTTAAAGTCTGTAAGAAAAATCTGTATTTCATCTGCAGCATCTTGTGGCAGAAGATTTACGAGGCAGAGTTCGGGAGTCACACCTGGAAGCCGAGCTCAGCTGAGGAGGAGGAGGAAACGGCGGAGGAGGAGCAGAAGCAGGAGGAAGAGGAGTGTATGGTGAGCCGATGGAAGAAGATGTATTTCAACACGGTTGCCAGACAAGAGATAAAGAAGTGGAGGAGAGACCTGAAAGATGTGAACCCTTACACCGGCCTGCCCAATCAGACCGAGTGGGTCCTCAGGTATGAAACAATACGACAAGATTTGGTTTTCATTCACTTTTTATTACAAATCCTGTAGATTTTACATTCTGACCAGTTTTTAAGGTGCAGTCGGGTCTTTAAACCAGTGGGTTTGGTGTTTATTGAGACGCATGAAGCGTTGATCAGAACAAACATTTCTATTTATTCTTCTCCTCAGGGGCCTCGTGTATAAATGGTGCGTACGCACAAAAAAGTTGTGTGCACCAGGTTCTACGCCCATATTGTGATGGATCAAAACCAATGTTGCGTGAGTGTGCGGCAGCCACGCAAAGTTTTTCAGTCGAGAGTTTTAACTCACAAAGTCCTGAATCTGACCTGAGTCCACAGAAATATGACTC